TTCATGAGCTGTATTGACAAAGTGTGGCTTTGTTGACTGGAGAGAAGGGCTTTGATTTCCTTTCTCAAAGATTAGGACATGTGAAAGGGTCAGGCAGTGGGGGACAAAGGACTTCAGCCAACATACCAACTCTGCCACCAAACAGTGTCACTGATGTTGGGTGACATTACATCTGTGTGCCTCTGTTCTTTATCTGTTAAATTGGGATGATAAGAGTTCCCTCCCCCTTGTATGCTGTGAAAATTAAATGAATAGCAATGGCAGGGCAGATTAAATGAATGGTATTGTTCTGACTGGCAGGTCAGAATGATTCTTGGGTATCGTTGCTCCAAGATGGCCCTAGAGTGCAATGCTCCACCTGGAGCTGGGTGTGGTTCCCATCAGCTGACCTCATCCTCCCCAGCCTCCAGCCCCTGGATCCTTGCAGGATTCTTCCTGCCTGATACCTCACACCAATCTGCCTTCAAATAAATGAATAAGTGGACAGATAAGCCAATTTGGGCATTAGAATATTTGCAAAGGGTGGCTCTCAAGACAACAGACGTGTGAAATAATCCATTTCGGCACTGGGTGAATTTGTTCCAACCAAAGGGCCATCACCAGTGTCAAAGGCAGTTAGCATCATGCTGCCTCTGTATCTATTTCTTGTTAGCGCTCCCACATTGAACGGTAAACACATTTCACTGTTTTGCAAATTTCTCCAAAACAAATATTCTGACATCAATGGTAACTGTTTTCCTCCCCTCCCTCCCCAGAGACTTTTCTTTCTTGCTTGCTTTCTTTCCAAAACTTTTCAAGTTCAAGACCCTGGGATCCTGCTGAGCTCAGGAGCAGGAGCTGAGGAAAGTTCTGACAGACCATATTCTCTCTTGATCTCCCTTCTCTTCACCACGGCTAAAAATATACACTTCTCCACCCCACCTTGTCAATTCCCCTGTAATTAGAAGGGCCGCCAGAGTCTCATCTGCCAAATCTGTGCCCCAGAGCGGAACTTAGGGAACAGGAACAGGTGGGGAGGGTGGATGATGCAGTGGGGAGGGAGCTGGGGGACTGGAGGAGCCCAGGGCTTTGAGCTCAAAGCTGATGGTCAATGAAGGAGAGGAGGCTCATGCAGGAAGCGGGGGGGGGTCTCCTGCTACTGGAGACATAACTTCTAGGGAGTCCCTACCCCTCAGTGCACACATCAGGCATTCTGTGGGTGCTGGGCATGTAAGACCGGGCCCCTAAGGAGCTCACTGTTTTGTGCCACAGATGGACACATGGAAAATCACAAAGTTATGAGAATAGAAGTAGGTCTGAAAGGATGTTTAAGTGTTAATGTTGGTTTATGCTGGCAGCAATGAGGGTGTGAGGGTTGTTGCATTTTTTGTTTTTTCTTGTATTACTTTTGTAAAAAAAAAAAAAGAAGAACATGTATACTTTATAAAAAGTGAGAAATTTGTTACTTTAATAAAAGTAACAATACAACATGGTGAGTTTTCTAGAAGTCCATTTCAGGCTAGGAGCCCTGAAGTTTTAAAGTGAGAGGCACCCTGTGGTTGAAGACAGTTTCCAAACCAGAGGATAATTACTGAAATGTTTTTCTACGCAGGCCCAGTTCTAGAGTGTGAGGATACAGAAGTGTATTGCTGGAACACAGTCTGAGGTACAGAAGTGTGTTGCTGGAACACAGTCCAAGGTGGGGAGAGGTGAGAGGTGGTAATGGAGGGCCAGGCATGGTCCAGACTGGAAGGGCCTATGTGCTGGTCTGAGAACCTGGCATTCCCCTGCTCCTCAGTGGGGAAAATGGGTGGTTATGGCAGCATGAGGTGGTGTGTCAAAGAGAATGCAAAGCTCCAGGAGAAATAAATGCAGAGCCATCTTCCTGGGGCATCAGTTGTACTTAAACATCCTTGGGGAGGAGGTTGAGTGATTCTGTAGATAGGTAATTTAAAGAATTATCCTGACACTGGAACCAGCCTGAGTGGATCCTGGCAGAACTTTCAGACTGGGCTCCCGTCTGGTCCCCTCAGACGGAGTGTGGCCCCCAGCTCTGCTAGATTAGGGGAGCTCCCTTGGGAAAGCGTGAGGAGGCCTGCTGCGGTGAGAAGAAATGAAGGAGAGAGTCTTACCCTATTTGTGCTTTAGAAAGATCCCCTGGTGGCTCGCATGGAGAGGGAGGATGAGGTTTGAGGCAGTTAAGAGGCCTTCATAATAGTTCACCTTGGAGATGCTGAGAGCCTGGCCACAGGGTGGATGTGAGAGGGATGTGGGGATTGATGTGGCTTGGATATTGCTGAGGCAAGGTGTGGGGGGAAGGACAGGGGAGTCCAGATGAATCCTAAGTGTCTTTGGTCGCTGAGAGATATGATACCATTAACAATAACAGAGAGCACAGGAGGAGAATGGGTTCCATTTCATGCATCTAGAAGGCGGTGAATGAGAGACCCCCAGGGAGTGGATTGTGAGCAGGAAAGAAAAGAGGGACAGGGGGACCATGATGGGACACCGTCTTCAGGGAGCTAGTGGAGGACGAGGATCAGGTGATTGGAAGACCTCCCACCTTTGTCCTCCAGCCACTCCACACATCTCCCAGGGGCTGGGGTCCTGGGCCGTGTCAGGCCACCAACATTTGCTTCCTTAGCAATTCCTTCAGGTCTGCATGGCTCTGCTTGTCTTTCCGGAGGGTGCTCAGTCATCCTTCAGCTCCCTCTGAAGCTCTTCCCTAAGTGGGAACAATTGTCTCTTCTGTGCTCCCCTGGATCCCCTGTGACCTCCTTTACAGAATGTGCTGGTTTCCTCCTCACTGCATCTGCAGCACTTTACAGAATGTGCTGGTTTCCGTGGCTGTTTCCTCCATCAGCCTGTGAGCTCTGTGCCCAGCCTTGCACAGAGTAGGTGCTCAATGAATGTATTCTGGATGAGTGGATGGATTGCCCAAAAGGACAGAGAAAGAATCAAACAGGATGTGCTCACAGAGAGAGAGAAAGGAAAGAATTCTCAGTCACAGGAACCACATGCGCCAAATAATAAAGTCAGATAAGAGCTGAGAAGCATTTGTTTGAGTTTGGAGGTGTCCATGGCAAGAATAATGTCCCTGGCTAGATGTGAGTGGAAACACATCACAGCACGTTTACATTAAAGAGTGACTAGGAGGTAAGAAAGTGGGGACAATGAGTGCAGACCTTTCCCCCACTCCGGTAAGTTCAGAATAGAAGAGAAAGGGAAAGATAAGGTGATAATTACAAGTGACATAGATTTTTAGACTTGAAAGGAAGGAGCAAGTCGGGAGAGAGATGCCTATATAATGCAAAGTGAATGGGCGCAAGTGATTGAGATGTGAAGGGATGATCAAGAGCAGAGGTGAAGGGATTGGCTTTGAACCAGAAAGATTTGAGGTCAGACATTCCTTCCCCTATGAAGGACAATGGTGAGGGGAAGGGGAAGGGAATAGGTTATAGTTGAAGGAGATCAGGGAAGGCTGTGAATGGGAGAGGAACACACACACGTAAAGACTCATGACACTGCTGCGCATCCACAGAAGACTGGAAAATCACACTAGACCTCCAATTGCTATGGCTCTATGATGTTCCATAGAACCAGTTCCATCTGGAACTGCTCTCTGGGCCTGCTGCAAAGCCACCATGTGGGACTCTCCTTTTCTATCATCTGAGGACTTAGCTTTTCCTTTCTCTTGTCTGGAGCCCTGTTTCCTGGGATCCATGTTTTTCTCTTCTTTGGATTTCATCTCCATATCTTCTGCTACATATCTAGGGGCTTCCTGAGATGCTGAATGTGCCTTGGAGGTCTAAAAATGTCTTTAGTCTATACTCACACTGAATTTGTGGTTTAGTTGGAAAATCAATTCTAGATGGAAAATAAATTTCCCTCAGAATTTTGTCTTCTGTCTTCCCCTGTGGTTACTGAAAAGTCAGTTGTCATTCTTATTTCACATCTTTTGATGTGATATTTTTCCTTTCTGGAAGAATTTAAGGGATTATTTTTAGCTCTGTTTTTCTAAAATTTCATGATGAGGAACCTTGATGAGAGGTCTTTACTTAATATGTTGGGCAATCAGAATCATTTCAAACAGGGGACTCATGTCAGTTCATTGGAAAATGTTTCTGTAGCACATATTAGATGATTTTCTTTTATTTTTATCTGTTCTCTGTTTCTGCAATGTCCATTAGATAATTGTTGAACTTCTTGGATTATCTTCTAAATTTATTTTCTACTTTTCGTCTTTGTCTCTTATTTTCTTCATTATGGGTGATCTCTTTGACTTTGTCTTTCAATGATCCTATTACATTTTTGATTTTAGCTATCACACTTTTACCTTCCAAGAGTGTTTTCTGTTCTTTGTTCTTTTTAAAAATTACATCCTTTGTTTTTTGCTCAATGGCTGCGATATTTTCTCTTCTACATTAAGTGATATTAAGTAAAGTTTTTTTGGAAAATTTATTCTGCTCTCTGCATTGTTTTCTTTAGTTTTTGGTTCTGTTAATTTTGGTGGTTGTTTTCCATATTCCGTAATTGTCATCTATATCCCAAAAAATCACTGGAATCTCTCTCTCTCTCTCTCTCTCTCTCTCTGTGTGTGTGTGTGTGTGTGTGTGTGTATGATGCATATTAGAGGAGGAGGACTTCTTATTGGCTTTCCTGTAGGGTGATCAAGCACCAAGCAGGATATAGATCTTTTTAATTTTTGGTGTGAGGAGACAGGAGAATTCTCTTTCTTCAAAAAAGTCAGCTGCTTATCAGGATCTCTCTCTCTCTTCTCTCTCTCTGTCTCTCTCTCTGTCTCTCTCCATCTGTCTCTTTCTCTCTCTTTCTTTCTTTTTTTTTTTTTTTTTTTTTATCTCATCTCTATTATTGTTTGTATACCTACCTGTTTCGATTCTTGGACCTGGGTAGAAAAACAGAGTTAGAGAGCGTGTTTGTTACTATTCAAGATAGAGAATTTCATGTCTGTTTTTAACTCTGAGACTCAACTCTGTCTTCTGCTTTTCCAGGTGTTCCTGCATTTGTACTTGTAGCTTTTCCAGTTCAATAGAACTAGAGGATCAGCCTCTGCTCCACCATCTGGGCAGGGTAAGTAGAGAGGTGGCTTTTCGGGGTTGGAGGAGACCTGGGGGTCTAATTGTTCTGCACACTGACTTCAACCAACATCTCCTTCTCAGCTCAGCCCCTCCACTGTCTTTACCTGCTGCCTCCCAATGCCAAGTCTTCTGTGGGCTTTGCTGGGTGAATTGGCTCCTGCCTCACAGGCACCCTCTGCAGGCTCTCAGAGCACAGCTTTCTCAACTCTGCAAGGACAGTTGTTGCTCCTCTTCTCCCACCCCACCTTGAAAAAGTGGGCTGAAATATCTTATCTGCTACTGACTTCTGTCTCATTCTCTGTGTCCCTGCTGGCTTTTATCATTTATTTCGTCAAATTAGAGGGTTTCACACGCTCAATTTAGCATTTTAATCAGAAAACCTAGTATACATTTTGGTACAAAAAAAAAATACTGTGCAATCTGTTGTATGCCCTTTGTTGCCTAACGTGGCAGGCGTTCCATGAAGACCTGTTGACTTAATTAGTAATTCCAGGTCTAGCACATGGGACTATCGAGTCCAATGCTGAGCCTGGGGCACAAGGAGCAGAGGATACCTCTGGGAGAGAGGGAAGGAGGCCAGAAAATAGACTTCCATAAAGTGGGTAGGTAAGAACAGCTCTTCTTTCTAGATCTTAGTTGATGAGGAGTGATTGGAACAGTTGGTTGGTTTTGCATCTAATTTATCAGTGTTGGACAAATTGGCTGTGCCATTTGGACTACACAGTGAGAGCTATGACTGGCAAATATAGGAAGGAACACCGCCCCTACAATTTTCTGCCCATTATCCTTGCATTAGGGCTTACATTTCCAACCACTTGGAATTAAGCCATTAAATCAACAAGCAGATTGGAAGCTCTACTGATAAGAGCCCATGAACCATGATGCAATGCACCCACACCATGATGGAATGCACCCGCACCGTGATGGAATGCGCCCGCACCGTGATGGAATGCACATGCACCGTGGTGGAATGCACCTGCACCATGATGGAATGCGCCCGCACCATGATGGAATGCACATGCACCATGGTGGAATGTGCCCGCACCATGATGGAATGCACATGCACCATGATGGAATGCACCTGCACCATGATGGAATGCACATGCACCATGATGGAATGCACCCGCACCATGATGGAATGCACATGCACCATGATGGAATGCGCCTGCACCATGATGGAATGCACATGCACCATGGTGGAATGCACCTGCACCATGATGGAATCCTGGGGTCATAGCCAGGCATCTAGGGATGACCTCTGCTTCCCTCTAACTGGCAACAGATCAATCTGACTTATGTTTCCCCTTTCTCTGGGATTTCACAGGGTCTCTGGGGAGATGACAGCCATAGGAAGTTTGGGGATGAGCCTCTGGCCACAAGTCCCTTATGGTCACTGATGAGAGCCCTGTACAGTGGATGGCTCTGTTGTTTCCACGCCAACATTGGGCACAGGGATCTTGGCCAAGGTTCTCAAGTCACTGACTCCATGTCTGTTTCCCTTGGGCACCAGGCTACTGGAGCTTCCATTGGAACTCAGGCCACCCTATGGAACTGTTGGAATTGGGGCTCAGGTCCTGCTGCTCCAAGATACCCATCTCTGTCTATCCCCACACATCACCCAAGGGCCTGGGAAATCCTACCCTTCCTCTTTAGTTGATCTCCATCTCTTGAACTAAATCTCAGTTGGGGGTTGCCTTTTGTGTGTTTGGTATCAGCCTCTGTTGTTGTTTTTCCTCTGAAACATAAAGTACTCTTAACTCTACTGTGAGGCACTGGGAACCAGACTGAGATGAAGATTAGCTAACATCTAACTTCTTAGTTTTGGATTAGGGTTTCCAATTCTTCTTTTGAGTCTCCTACTGAAACAGGAATAAAAAGCACATTTATATCTCAGTACCTTCAGTATTTGACTAAACTCTGCAGTTGGAAAACCTGGTTAGGTTTCGCCATGACTTTTCCAAATGTATTAGGCCATAGCACTCTGTTCCCCTCTTAACATTTATTAACACCTATATCAGTTAGGGCACCCACAGGAAACAGCTGGCATACTCACCCCGGGATAATTTTAAAATGCTTAATTTACAAAGGGACTGATGACAGCAGTGTGGGCAGCATGTGATGGATGGTTCATGGCCCTGGGGCCAGCTGCATGGAGCTGTTAACACCCCATCCTGGAGAGCTAGGAAGGTATAGGGGAATTTGGCAGATGGAATTTGTCTGCTCTGTCAGTTAAAGCTCCCCATCTGATTTCCGAGTGCCCCTGCTTCTTCACCAGTGCCCTTACCTTGTCATTAGAGGTCTGGTAGGGATGAGAATTAACGGGCTCCACAGCTCTGCAGCCCTTACTGTCAGATCCTGGGCTTAGTCCTCACCACGTCTCCTCTGTGACTGCAGGAAGTGAGGAATTTCATCACTGCCATGGGTCTTCTGGTCCCCCGAGTACGTTCTGAATTGCATGCTCATATCCTATAGGGCTGTAAGAAGGAGCAGTGAGTGCAATTGGCTGCCTGATGCCTATTCCCACACACATGGGATCCCAGGACATGGGGCTTAGCCTGTAGTGCAGTGTCCAGAAGCCCCACCAGGGTACTGGGGCAGGAAAGGTTACTTCTCTAAAAGTTCTGGTTTCTGGAACTGAGGGTGGGGCCTAGGAGGCAGCATCCTCATCATCAGACAAGCTGTCATCCAGGAGAGATGAGGCAGTGAGGGAGGCACTGAGGATAAGGCACTGGGGAGGCAGAGGAAGGTGGGGCAGGAGCAGTGTCCTGAGTTGGAGATCTTGGCTGGGATTCTTTCTATGGGGTTCTCTGACCAGCACATGGACCTCTGGCCCCGCCTGCTGCTGGGATGGAGGGTCGGAAATGCTTTTTCATGGGGTTTTACCACTTATTCTTCTAGCCATCTCTCTCTCTCTCTCTGCCTTCTCCTTCCCATTCATTCCCCCTGCTTTTCCTCACAACTGCTCTGTTTGTTTCACTTCTGCCTGCATCTTTTCCTAAATCTTTTACTATCTCTCTTTTCTTTTTTTCAGCTTCTTTTCCCTTATGTGATACAATTATTTTTATTAGCCTGTGCTATCTATATATTTAAATCCCAGAAGTGTATCTGCTAATTGTACTTTTAGGGAAATAATTATGCAAGTTAAGATGATTAGATAATGAAAGTGTTCTCTGGGGCTGGCCTCTTTACAAGGGAATGGTGATGGGAACAGGGATCCTTTCTACTGAAACTAGCAGGGTGGTTCAGTTTTTATTAGGACACTTTGAGACATCTGAGATACAATCAGATCATTCCCAGGGCTTGGCCAGAGGGCTAACTCTGGGAGCTCATCCTGTGAGCAAGATTGGATATTTTGTGGCCTTCCAGGAAGGAAGAGTTCCATGATACATGGCTTAGGGCGTAGGACCCCATGGAATTCCTAGATCCATATGAAGATTCCAAAGACATTTGGAGTTTCTGAAACTTGAGCACACACGCGTGCGCGCGCACACACACACAGAGCAAGATTTGGCTTCCTTTGGGCAGAGGGTTTTGTAGATGTGAAATTGCTGAAATGCATCAACTCTGGAATTGCTTCATTGTACACTAATGGTGGCCGTAAGCTTCCTGCTCACTCACTCTTGTCGTATAATAAATGTTCACAAGATACATGCTTTCCTTCTCTGGATTCTGCTCTTGGTTCAGAAGGGTGGCTTTGCCAGTCACTGCTGGCACACCTGGGCCATCAGAGGTGCCTACCACACCCTCGCATCCAGTCACTTGCTGACCTGACCTCCCCAGACAGGAAGAGGTGGTGCTGGTGCTATTTTTCTAAGATGAGGGGACATTGAGAGAGGCGATGGCTGGGGGATGGCCCAAGTTAAGAAGGGGCAGAGAGAAAGGGTACATGTGATTTTGGATGTGTAGGGGAGAAGAGAAGTGAGCCAGGGAGAATGGGGTTCTCTTGAGTATTGAAGAACTGGCAGGAGTAATTTCTTGGAAGAATAAAAGGGGATGGGAGTCTGATCTTGGTTTAGAGACACTATTTTGCAAAAGGAGAATTTGATGCTTAGAGGGGATACACTCTTCTGCAGTGGGACCTTGACACTTCTCCATTAAGAAGTGGAATGAATTCCTCTCCCCTTGAATCTGTGTTGCCTTTAGTGACTTGTCTGATCAACAGAATGTGGTGGAAATGATGTTCTGGGTTTTCCAAGGCCAGGTCATAGGAGCTTTGTGGTTTCTGCTTCTCTTTTGTAAACACTCACCCTTGGGGACATTTCCTCTCAGAACTCACCCCTCAGTGGGTGAAGCCCAAGACACATGGAGAGGTCACATGAAGGGGCTCTGCTTAGTGCCCCGCCTGAGAGGCTGCCTGGCAGCCAGCATCAACTGACAGCCTTTGGGAGGGGATCTTGGATGTCCAGCCCAGCTAAGCCTTCAGTGACCTCAGCTCCAGCTCCACCTGACTGTAACTGCATGAGAGACCCCAAGCAAGAACCATGCAACTGAGCTCAGTCAATCCAGAGTTGTGAAAGGTGGTGCATTTTGTTTTGAGCCACTACATTATGGGATAGCTTGTTATGCAGTAACAGATAACTAGGAACCATATTTAAGAAAAATACTCAAGATCCTGAATTTTAAACAAGAACCAAAGGGTCTTCTCTCTGCACTTTCACAATTACTTTCAGAGAAAAGGGGTAGTTTTAAAAACAAGCTTCCCTGACTATGCAAATATATCCCTTTCTGATTGGACAAATTAATGGTCAGATAGGCTTGAGCCATTGGCCTTCATGCTTGAAGGCAACTTAGAGACCATGGAATAGTCATGGGCCTGCCTGCTTGCTTTACAGATGAGAATCATGGAGCTGAAGTGACTTGCCCAGCGTCACCCAGGTGCCTAATAACAGAACCTGGGCTGGACCCTAGGTGCCCTGATTCCTAGCTCAGTGCTCTCTATATTATATTATGCTGCCTGTTTATAATGCTGTTTAGGGACAGGCAATTCCCTGA